GATTGAGTGAATGGAAGCTGATTTCCGCCCAAGTATATGACTGTATTGCTCTGCGCGTGATATATCCTGCACAAATGCACACCAATAGATTTAGTAGAAGACGTTAAACCCTGTTGACGTGCCCCATTCTTTGAGCTTATTAAGCACTAGTTGCAGTTGCCTCTGGATCAACTAATGCTGCTGAACGAACAAAAGATGACAAAATAATACACAAACAGGTTCTCGCACATCGATGCTATACCATTTATGGCGATGGCAAACAGAAAAACTCAGAACCGATTCTTGTGGGATACCATTTTCTAGAGGGTGACTGCTAGAAAGCCTTTCACAAACGCGAACACGGAAGGATCTGTTCTAAAGGAAGTTCGAGAGGAATAGAAGAAGCTTCCCCCTAAATCCCCAAAAGTGCAGAATTCGCAGAATGCCGTACCTCCAAGTGGTGTCGGCCTTTTCTATGTCAAATAATGTGGCCACATTATTATTGTCACAAGACGAATATGTCGAGATTGCTGTTGTCAACACGAGGTGGTCCAAGGTTGACCGATTTCTTCTATCACCGCTTTGGATTGGCGTCAACAGATTTTAACACTCTAGGGTTCAGACCAAACGCCGATTCACCATGCATTCCATACTTCACAAGCCCAGCTTGTAAGAGAAATGGGTCGATAGCTTAATGGCAAAGATCGATCTTTCCCTTCTTTGAGAAATTGGATGATGGCTTCTCGCCATATAGTAGGGATGGTGTGCTCTTCCCCGATACGGTTGTAGAACCGGAGGAGAAATTGAATGGCCGTTTCAGAAAGATGTATTAGGTTATAAATTTCATCTGGGCCTGGGACAGTTCATTTCGTAAGTGCCACTGGGAGCACATTTTGCACATGGAGAACGGGTTATTATAATCCATATGTGCACTGCGCGAAAAATTCAAAGCGCGGTTTTCCATTCTATCTTTTAGCAAAAGAAAGTCTGGAGCATAATTCGCCGAACTCGTTTTCACAATGAGCAGCAAATTCCTCTACAATTGCGTCTCGAAATGTAATCATCACCCCATTCTTAAGAAGACCTAGCACTGAATTTGGGGAGGATTATCCCTTGATTTGCCGGACCTTCCTCCACACCAGACGTGATCGCGTACGGCCATTGAGGGAGACGTATGCCCTCCACGATAAACATTTACTTTCTACAATGGTTTTCCTCGCCTTTGCTCTGCACCTCTTGTAATCAATTAGATTATTCGCGGTAGGATAGTGTTTCAGACGCGCCTTTTTAGGGGTTCTGGCCACCCTTAAGCAGTCCGAGTTTCACCACGGGACGAACGGATGTCGCGGTTTATCAGCCGTTTTGGGGATTGCAATATCAGCAGCTCGAAGTACAACACTGTTAAAATGTTCTGCCATTTCGTTTACACAAGTGTAAATGTGTGATAGACTGACACTTGCTTGATATTTCGACGAGTCTGCTCGTTGTACTCACCATTGAGGGGGGGGTAGAGTCCATCAGTGAGGAAGAGAGTGGGGTAATGGTCGCCTCTAAACATGTCGCAATAGTCTAGAATAGACCATTGGAGAACGGTTGCAAGTAATGGGTTACGGAGAACTAGATCGATACAATGACTCCTGTTTGTGGCGACGGCGAAATGAGTCGGTTCACCTGTGTTCAGAATTACCTAGTTCGAGGTGTCTATAATCGATTCCAATGCGTCGCCTCTCGGCCAAGAGCGGGACGAACCCCAAAGATGACTGGGCATTTACATCACCGACTATTAAGAACTGTGAGGGTAGCGGATACACACAGTCCAGGAGGATTATAAATGCTAGACAGTAAGCATGAGGAATGGGAGATACCCCTGCACACAGGTTGAAGCTCGGTATGAATAGGAATATCTGTAGAGCAGCGAGTCGTGGATAAAAGTAGCAACTCTGCCATGTACGGAGGTCGTCATGAACATCAACTCTGTATGGGGTGAAGCCGGGTAAGGATATGGGGCGTGGTGGAACTAGATGCGTCTTGTGTAAGTAGATTATCGAAGACCTGTAACGGGGCAGCGGATGTTTGAATTAGTATCGTCGGGAGGAAAAACATTTAAATTCCAAGAAAGGAGAGCCATACTGTGTGTCGTCACGTTCAGAGTGGGAATCTCTCTTCTATTCTCCTTCCTCTTGATCCTGAACACCTCAGTTACGCCCTGATACTTAAAGAAAGAGAGAAGTTTCTCCTCACTTTTCGACGCAAAATCTTCCATGATTGACCACACCTTACAAAAATTAAGCGTAGGGTGAATGGTCACTTCCACCTGAAGACCGACAGTCTGTTTAGTTGTTTGAATATGTCCTACCTGATCATCGGTGCGTGTTTCAAAGAGAATGATACCTCTCCTTTGTCGCACGACCGCTTGGAGTTTTCCAAGGATTGCTCGCGCAAGACGGATCGCGCTTAAGTCTCTTTCGTCCGCGCACGCCATAAGAAGCAACCGTGGTTTCTTCGGTTTCTCTTCTTCTCTGAGAAAAAACTATTTAAATTAAGTCTTCTCGTAACATCGCCTCTTCCTTGCGGAAGAGCGCAAGGGGTTGGTTTTTTGTTCCACTGGATTGAAGCGGTTTTGTCTTCGTGCTCTCCACCCACCATGGAGTCCAAGAAGGGAACACCCCACTAAAGTGCCGGGGTTGACACGGGCATAGTGGGTGGATGCCACCGCTCACTTTGGAGTTCAGTACAAGACCTAGCCGATTAATCGGGAGTGGGTTAGCTCCCGACTGCCCGTCTACAAGAGTCCGACGCCAAAGCAAGGGTATTGAAACCTACAAGGAATGTTCCCCAAAATACGTAAGCAACGTATCCCTAGGTGCGAAGCAGGGATTTTAGCACAAGACGAGTATTTGGGAAACAAAAAGACCCCTCAACCGCCATCACACAACCCTCCTACAAAGGTCGCCATGCACGGCAAACACATGGGTGGGCGTTCAGAATAGGAGTGGTAGAAGAGACAGGATGTTATAAAAGAACGAGAATGAATGATTGGGGGAGGATAAAGATGACTGGTGAAAGAAAGGAATACTTGAGAGCCCTCCCTGCATCCCCCCATCAGGATGTGGACCAAGCCACAGATGGTAATGAACTACAGACCAAGAGGAAATAGAGACCCCAGCAGACCAAGGAAAAAGGTGTGAGGACCAGGAACACCATAACTAGTATAGGGGAATACTAGAAACAAGAAACAGGCCATGAGACCTAAACCTTAATAAGTTGATGAGAAATACCGTAAGTAATAAACAGACCTTCAGTCTATATGGAATTAATAAAATAACTTTGGCTGGAGTCATGAAGATTGTATTGTATACACATGCTCTCATTGTACAGATCTCTGTAGAAATATAAATAATACACATATCAAGGATACAAAATATCTTACTTATATAAAAATTCACATTCATACATACATTTAAGGCAACTTATATTCAATATATATTCAGCACTTTTATAATTCTCTAAGCCTCCTGAAAATAATATTAACATTCCACCAGAAGAGTAATCAGTTAACATATATTATCACAATGTAAAACAAATACATTGACATGAACATGACTTGTGACATAATTGTACAATTAAACTGACTCTTGGACTGTAATTAGTAGGAAGCTGTTTTGGTATTTATGATTTTTTCATTAATTAAAGACGACTTGTTCCAATCATAGCTAGTTTTAATTGAACTTCAAGTGAGCAGTTCTCAAGAGTCCAAAACTGCAATTTTACAGAAGGAAAATACACTACATCAAGACTCCCGGACTAACTACTGATGTCATTACTCCAACCTGAGGAAAATTATCTAAAGAAGGTATAGATATAAGCACTTTTTAACATGAATAGCAGTGCACATTTGCAAGTTCATAAAAACAACAAAAAGAAAGTAATTTTAGACATCCTCTTCCCAATTTATCATGATAACCTTCAGAGCACTAGTGTTGCAGTTGGGAAATCATGTAACAGAACAGCTGTTCTTTTGATCTCAAAGCAAGAAAATGGTTTATTCTTCAATAAAAACTCAATATGATGGAAGATCGTCTTGTTCACTTGACTCTCGGACTATTAATCTGTTAGGCTCTAGATAAAATTATCTCAGTTCATGAATATGACCATAGAAACTGGAGAAAAGAGGAGAAAAAAAATCAAAAAAACACCTACTTAACTGGTTTCTAGTGAATACTTGTACTTAATACTTAGCACATGCTTGGAGTTCTGCCAAATAATCAGAACTGTGAACTTCTTTTAATTCTATTTGAAATTAGTTTCTGTCACATCTGTCCCTCAGTGTCAATTGAAAGAAAAATGTAAGAAGAATTTTAAAATGACTTTCAAAATAATTGAACAGAAAAATTTAGTTAAGTTCAGTTTTGTTTTAGTTTCAAACTTGAAAATCTGCAATACATTTTGAATGGCAAGATTCATCTGAAAAATGGAATAGTTAGTGGTGATCAATGTTGTTTATTCAATGAATACCTTCAATAGTTGAGGGAAAATGACAATTACATTTCGGCAGAAAATATAAGCATGTCTAATTTTAACAACTGCTCTGAATTTTACACAGAACCAATACAAGCCATTATAAAAAATGTGATATTTATATCACTTAATACCATCACTCTCCATGTTCATGGAATCTTATTACATCAGAAAAATAAATAAAACAGGAAATAAATGTTAGAGATGCTGCCTATAGTCTCTAAATCATTAGGGTGCGTTCTTGTATTAGCACAAGAAGCTCACTTTACAGTTTTACATAAATATATAACACAAATAATGCCACAGTGGTACAGCAGCCCCACCAATATATACATTTACAATGATTTTTAAAGCACTAACAATTCTAGACACAAAATATGACAAATTTAAGAATTACTATCATTCTGAACACACTAAAATCAATATCATTGTTTAACTGAGTACAATTCTCGAATTAGAATAATTTTTTATGAATAATTATAATAAATTGTATTCTGATCTTTAAAAAAGTTATTAATAACACCACAATACTTTAGTTTTGAGCCCATCACTCTGATACTGCTCATACAGAAAATCTCATGCTTTTTACCACACTACTTCCATTACAGATTTATGTACTGAGACAAGAATGTTTCATGTACCAATTAACTTTTTTGGGGGGGGGGAGAGAAAAAGAAAAACAAGTAAATATCTAGAACTCTTCATAAAAATTCAGTCGACCACAAACATAAATTAAGTACAACCAATTGTTCTCTATTATTATTATTATTATTATTATTATTATTATTATTATACTTGATGTTACACGATTGTACATATATTTTCAACCTTTCAGATGAAAAGGAGCAGAGCTCTAAGACTTGAAACTATGCCAATTGAAATAATTAATATAACCCCTTCAAGTGTCTTAGATATCATAATTTGGATATCAAATAAACGTTTTTGTACGTGAATAGGGAGAGGCCAGAGGGCCATGCCACCCTCCTGAAAAGTTTGAAAGGAGCTCCTAACCTTATGTAATAAAACATTTTATTTCCTTTTTATGTTCAATCCCTTATTTTCCCCCTTTCTTACTCTGACAGTCTGGTAAATTTTTATAAGACCTTGAGGAAAGAGGCTTTCCAAGCAATCAGGTATATGTGCAAACAGTTTAACATAAAATCAATTGAATTTATTAATGGTATCAATAGAGTTATTTCTTTATAATTGTTACAAGAAAGAATGAATGTGAATGTGTCAAAGATGGAGGCAGTGGAGGAATCAAGTGGCTTTTGTGCAGAGATCTTGTCAGAATAGATACTCATGGTATTTTTAGATATGAGAGTCATTTGACTCAGTATCCTTAGTTAAACAATGGGATACGATGACAGATGAAAATATAAATACTGTTTACATAAGTGCTGCAAGGAGCTTATAGACTGACTGTCAGGGCTGCATAAAAGTAGGATTCTTCAGTAAAATAATAAAGATTCAAGGCAAGGTGGTTGTATTTCTCCAAATCAATTCACAATATTTATAAAACAATTTTGTCACACCTGGATGTATGCAGATGATAAAGTGGTCAAAGCCAATCATGATATCAACTACATGACTAGAAAATTAATATAAGGATATGTAAAGTGAAGACTGGTTATAAATATTTCAAAAGCAAACTAGTGGGAAGAAATGGATGGGATTTGAGAACACAAATATATAACTAGGTATGAAAAATAATTCAATTATTTGAGATTCACTATAACACATGATGGTCATGACAACAAAGATATCTTAAACAAAATAAATAGAGGCAGGCAAATTGTTAGAAGATAAAATTCATTGGCATGGGACACATAAATAAGCATAAAAAGAAACAAACTTCACTTTATATATAGCAATAGTTGAAAGCCTACTTACAGATGAAGCTGAGATATGGACAACAAATGCACGAGACAGAAGTAGAATTCAAACAATGAAACTGCAACATTAGATTTATTGTTTAATATTTTCACGCACGTCAACTGCTACAGTCTTAGTTCCATAAGTGTAGACTGTATTATTCTCGGACGTGGCAACGATTCCTTCCCAGCTGGATGGTGAGATCTTTTTCTGACTTACACATTGGCATGTGGGGAATTTCTTTCTCCAATGTCTGTCCCCCCTCCCCCACCATCACCAGTGGGACATTGCCCTCATTCGAGACAAGCCCTAAGCTCCCAACTGGTATCACAGCAAGTGTGGAAGTAATGCCTATAAGTGAATATGAATGTCTTAAGGGAGAGGAAGGACAGATCGCATGTGGTCCTCTTATACTGTTGAGTAATGGCTTGGTATTCACCTGGTATTAATCACACAAACCACAGAAAAATACATCAAAGTAGCTGGCCACTAGAATTCTTCGTCAGACAGTGCCCGGATTCAATCTAGCTGTTTAGCTAGGGACAAAACATCCACCACTGTTGGGTCTCAAATCCCCGGAGCTTCCGGTCAGAGTCACTACAGAAATAGAAGCAATCTGTAAACTCAGTTGAACTATATAGGAAAAAGCTATCAAGTTTTCCCCTCCCCCAAAACAAAAGAGAGAGAGAGGGGAGGGAGATATAAAGAATTGAAATACAAACATTTAGAGAAACAACAAAAACCAGGAAAAACAATCTGAAATGATGGAAACAAATTCAACGCCCATACCATAGTAATCTCTGAATCTTCATTGCACAATATTTTCTCCAGCTGCAACATGTACCCACCCATAAACATACCTATAATAATAGATTTGCCCAAAATAGAAGCTACAGGTCTGAAACAATTCTGGAAACTGTCAGAAAGCAACTTTATTTTCTGTACATACTTTTAAACACGCCAAAATTAATTTCGTTCAAAACAAAAATATTTAGAAATAAACCACACAGAAAAAGGAAGCTACCCAAATACTCAGAAATGTTTCTTTCAATTAACAAAAGGAAATAGGCCAACATTGTTCAAATGAATACATATTTTCATATTGTTAAAAACATTTTAAGAATTTTCAATATCAATGGGATTTTAAGAAGGCTCTTTTATGTTTCAAAAATGAAAATACGATTTGTGTAAAAGGACAAAACTTAAGCTAAATGCGAATAAATTGTAATTAATTACTACTTTAAACAGGGGTGAAAAAGACTATTTTCTCCCTTAAGGTAGATTTTAATGTTCCACACATTTACTAATCATCTGCACATCAATAAGTTCTACAATAGGAAGATCATTTTTTAAAGCTCTCCTTTTTAGGGGAAATAATCTTAATAAAAACAATACTAGTAATTGTTGTATCAGTACAAGAATCCGTACATGCAAAAAAAAAAAAAAAAACACACACACACACACACTTCCGAATGCCATTACTAACAAAAAGAACAACTTAACCCATCAGCAATAAATGGGTTTTGAAGGTAAGGCACAATGGTTTATGTTGAAAGAAAATGTCATGTAATTTTCTAAAAAAGTAACAATATGCATACCGGTTTAAAACACTGGTATTAAAATGTACAAAAACTTACTTTTCAAAACTTCATTGAATTAACTTGATATCATCATAAAATTATATTCTTGTCTTATTACTTTCTAAATGTATGTTGCAAGTGCACAATGAATACAAATCTACATTTTAATTATATCTTATAAATATTAATCAATCACACCAACTCTTACTTGCAGCAACAAGGAGCAATGTATTATTATAAAGATTCGATACCAAGTGCATTTCTACCTGGAAATAAATTGATTGAATTTGAAGTCAACAATAAAAATCTTTTAACAACGAACACTTTATAAAGAATCATAACATTGATTTAATTGCAGAAATTACATTGCAAAATATTGAGGGGAAAATTGCAATTTAAAAGATTTATTCTTTCATAATTTAGTTTGGAAAGCTATTCAATCATGCAGCAACCAGAATGTATTGTATTAAGAATATTACATGGAGATAATAAAAATTTAGGAATATTTATAACGTTATTGTAGTTTTATTTTTTACACAAATTTATCTATATTTCATATTTTGGACTTGCTGTTTTCTATTTCCATTTTAAGTACTCCATGCATTTAATGCGGTTATTGGTCTGCTGGTTCAATTCTATCTATAAATGTTATTTGCATCACATCACTGGTAATGGTTGCTCCATGACCAAATATTTTCAACTATAAAACATTTAATAACAAGATCTTTATTTAATTTATAATAATATATTACAGCAATCCACACATCACCTCTTTCTGACACCATTAATAGTCTTTAGAGACACAGACTCACACAAAGCTGCTGCTAGGCTGATCCAAATACACAGATCTACGGTTACGACACACTTTAGTATCACGCTTGACCTCACTGGGTCGCACAAAACGAGCATTGGTAGAAACTATTTCTGCAGGTGGTCTGAAAGACGGATTACTTGATACCCAAAGAGATGATTTAGCAGGTAAATGCTTTGGTTTCGGAGGGAGAGGAGGAGGATCACTGAGGTGGCGTGAACGATTAGAAGCTAGCTCGTCAGTGGTTTCATTCTGCAACTTTGAATCTAAAATCACTGGATCTATAACAGCATTATCTAGAGAAGAACGATTACAAGGATTTTCATTGGGTTTTGCAGCAGAGCAAGATCTGTCAACTGCTGGTCGAGGAGGAACTTTCCCTGCTTCTCTATTCTTATAGTCAACCAATGACGATGATGGTCTACCTAAAAAATACTCATCGGATTCATGTCTCTGATTAGGGATTCCATCTTGACTGAAATTATCATCAAAGAAACGTGACACTAGATTTGCAGATGAATCCTTGTCTCCTTTACATCCACACTTGTTGCTATTGGCACCCATAAGCAAACTTTCATGACTACTTGCAAGACCTTGAGGAGTATCTGATGTTTCATAAAATTTTGAATTTGCTTCATCTGGGCGGCGAAGTTTCCGTATTTTCTTTCCTGCTTGAGGAGCATTTTCTTTGTCCTATAACAAATTAATAATACACACCTATAAAAAAATTCTGATTCATGTAACTTAAATAAGCTGCTTACAGAAAAACAGTAGCTGGTAGAGCTTTGAAAATTCCTCATGTCAATGGACATGTCATTCAGGCACCATTCTATGATACCAATTCACAAAAGAAATAGCAAAGAGAACTAAATTAAAGCACTTCTAGCATTTTCAATTGTGTTGCTATGGTCTCATATTTGAAGTATAAAGCTTGCATGGACTTAACCAAAACCATAAGACAGAACCAAACATTATGATAATTCTTTTTAGAAATAAAAGATCTTTTATTGTTACACATATCAGAGTGCTTCTGCCAAGAAGCTACACTAATGTTTTGGTTAAGACCCACCAAAAATTAACAACAAAAAATCAATCATTATTCAAGTTTGTCATTAAATTTATAATTTTGGTAAGTATGATCATATAAAAAAAAAAGTATTGAGAAATTCCTTTCCTGACATCACTTCATACTTTCACAATATTATTTACACAAATATTTTCGGGAACTAGTATTTACACATATTTTCAGGAAAACTTTCAGAATCCTAATGGTTACAACCACCAAAGTGTCTGTAATTCCATTTAGTGCATTGTTCCATTATAAGGAAAGTCAGGTTCACAAGTTTTGAACACTTTGTGTAACCTAAGTTTACCTTGTTAATCTATTCTTGATTTTAAATACAGGACATATTTTACTATCGAAATGAGTGCTACATTAATATGGAGTTGGAAAATAAAATCTTTTGGGGTCACATGTGATTCTGTACTATCTTAATCAGTACAAGTAGTCACCCTGAATATTAAGCCACGGTCCACTCTGCGCAAAATTTTCAGTTTTTCAATCTTAAGATTTACTCAACAGAATCCATTCTTGCAAAAGAACTGGTAATTTATAACAGAATAATTGTCCAAATGAAGTTAAAAGTGTATTAAGGAAGCACATACTGTTATGCAAATATGTTTGGTACTAATCAGTCAATAATGTTTAAATAAATATACAGCTATTATTGAGAAGAATACTGCATAGACTAATATATAAAAGAATATTGCAAATGCTTCATTTATTGTCATGGCATGGCAAATTTGTAAGTTACCTGCTTTTTCAGGACATAAACCTTGTTTTTCTTTCAGATAAGATGGCAACTTTCATTTTAATCCCCCGTGTCAGAGGTGAATTAATGCTTAAGGAAAGTAAGCATATGTTTACAACTCATGCTAAATAAGAACTCTCATTTTTTCTCTCCAAAAATTTACATTAGTTCATAACTGCATAAAATTATTTTAAGTTGCAAAGATTATAGTTTATGTTTATATTCCATTTTAACATTATTTGCGGGAGCCATAGACATTATACTCATAATTATTTCAGGCCCCTCAAAACATCAATATGATCATCCCAAAGGGACTACAATTTTTGTTGTCACAGAAGAGACAGATACACGACTATAGTAAGTAGGTGAATGTCTGGTAGTAAGATTAGAGAAGTAGATGTATTATGACTGAATAACTCTTCCTCTACATTTAAACAAACATGGCAAAAACTGGCAATGGAGAGCATCCTCGAAACCAGGGATTCCCAACCTTTTCCTAGCATTGATTCATCGACCCCCTTGAGATTTTGATCAAGAAGTCCAAAAGCTCGTATGGCATTCCATCCAAAAAGGGTAATGACCATTTGAAGTCGTTATTTTGGATGGGACGATGACATTCCTATGACTACAGAACTTTTATTCAGAAACTTTCACTACTTTATATTACTGAAAATTATTACTGAAACTTATTTCCATTTTCAATAAATCTTCTTTTTTGATGTAGGTGTGATAGCTGGATGAAGGGTCAGAATCCCATTCACCATGAAAGTAATTTGTATGAATATACGTCATAACATGCTGTTCATCATACACAATTTAAATTATGAAGGAGAGGAGGTATCTATATTCCAAGTGGTCTTGAGAACAGACAACAAATGACAATTATAATTCACTCATATCAGAGTATGTGCAACTTGCTTGATGTAAATATGGAAACAAAATGTAATATGCATTCAACATTTTCCTACGAAATGTGAAACAGCGAGACCATTATTTACGCCAGAATACCACAAAAGTGAAATTAAATGTATATGTATTATACACAAATTTGGGAATCACTGTGACCCAAATATTATTATTTAGTATCTCTATTGTTTCAAAATGATGAATTAGGATATACAATTTTTGTTCTATGTAATAGACAAACTTTTGAGGTTTGATTTCATCAATAACGGCAAAAAACTAACTTATACACTACATATTTAAGAACTTAAACTATTAATTTCAGTTTACTAAAACCTAAATTAACTACTGGATTGTTCCTCCTTGAACCTATTTTATCTCACCTGGAGGTTAACTAGCTCCAAATTATTGTACTCAGTACATCATGGTTTTTCTCATTTTTCTTGGGTTACTTAAGATTAGGGAGAAAATGTACAAGTATGCTAGCCTCTAACCATTAAATACTACATTCACCAACAATACCTTTACATATTCTGATTACAATGAGAAAATTGGCAAGGGTCATGGGTTCCCTCATTGAAGTGAATATGGAAAATCATTAGGTCAAACATGATCTGGTAATTAATTAGAAATGACTAAACAGTAACATTTATCATAAGCTTAGAGCATTAGTCAATATATTTTTGAAATTATTAATTAATTTTGAAGCCTTGTGCTTATACAACTTTAAAAAAATCAGTAAAGGTCTATTCGTTCTCCAAACAAAAACTGGAGAAATCTCTAAGAAATCCTTGGTCAAACAATTTAAAAAGGAAAATCCCTACATTTACAGAGTCAATAATAGTTATTCATATTAGAAGTAGTTAAAACTGACCATTATGAGCAAATTCGTGGATCATTTCCAAGTGTGGTAGCACAATATCGCTTAATAACAAGCACATCATACTGTTTTAGCTACATGTAATACACAAGATATTAACTAATTGCCTTCCCAACAATTTGACATATTTCCTATCTGCATGCCTATAAGCTTAATCACAGTATTTTGACTTTGGAAGATCTTTGTATTACATTGGATAAAATAATGAGACATTTTATTTACTTTGAACATGTAAAGTAAACAGTGCATGAAGGCAAATAAAAAAAATAATCTATTTTGAAGATTGTTCCCATCCACTACAATTTATTTTCTGGCTGACGAACAGTCAGCCATCAGCAGTGAAGTAAATGCACTAAACCCATTATTAAAGCACTTTTATTGGCTTCAATTAAAACTACTCAAGCTGAACGAGTTGAGATGAATTCTCCTTCAGGAGTAAAAACTAAAACTGATTTCAAATTTCAATTAGTAGAACCAGGTCTTAAAAAAAACAGAAATGCTTATCTTACCTTCAGAAAGTCTGGAAGTTCAGAATTAATTTCAGTTCCTCTCTGATCTTCCAACCTACTCCTTTGTGCTCTTTTCAGTCCTTCATACAGTTCTGTAAGGAGACAACAAAAATGAATACATTTTAAACTTTTTAATTTTGAAATGTATCCTTACTATATTAAAACATTTTAAATTACTGGAAGAGCAGGTCTGATGTAAAAGAAATTCTGGACATTGGTAAAATAAATATATGTCTGCAGTAAAAACCAAACATAGGATATTAAAAACTGGGGTTGATGCACATTTCAAATTTCAAACTTCCTTACTTTTCCACATTTCTCAGTACTGATATTTTGATTTTCAGTTAAATTTTCTAGACTATTTTTCCAAAACATAACTGGTGTTTGTTGTTCAATCCTAAGAACAAAAATTAATTATTTTATTTCAATTTACTAATTATTTCTTGAATGCTAAATGAAGCTATTTCAACTCTGAGCCTTTAACATATTTCTCAGGAGTAAATTTAGCAGAAACGTTTTGCTACATCACTAAAAAACTTTCAAGAATAATAATCTAGCACTTCCCATTTTCCAACCTCATTAGTAGCACGGATCATTCCCAAGTAACACCTTTCAAAGCATGAAAGCCATTACTCAGCACCACCTTTCAGCAGCTGCTCCTTGCCCTAACTACACACTCTGTGACATGCTGCTTTGTAGAAGCTACAAATTACATCTCTATAATAATAATTTAAAAATTAATTTGACTTCTACTTATTGCAATAAGTTTGATAATTCTAAATACTAAAACACAATTTTGATTCACAGAAATCTTACCATCACTCTCTGAACGACCCTGTAGTTTTGCACCAACTTTCCATTTTGATATCAAAGGTTGTTTGCTTGTTGTCGTTGGTTTGGCTTCTGAGTCATCAGTGGCTGTTTTGCATGAATTTCCATTCTTTTTGCTTTTGACACGTGACTCCTGTGAAAATAATTTTTTAATTGATATTATTATACATGAAACTTTATATTATTAACAACAATACTAATTCAAGAAACAAGTATGCAGAAAAAAAAACTAGTAATTTAATAATGAAACCATACCTTAACTTTGTCTAGAAAAGCTGAATCTCTTCTAAGAAGCCGACTAAGTATTCCAGAAGAATACTCGGAACCCCAGTCTTCAGACTGAAGAAACAGAAATATATAAGAATGTATAGAAACTTGTGATTTGTTTGAAAAAATTATATCCACACAAAATTTAAGAGATTAACATAAACAGTCTTTCATGAATAGGCAGATTTACAACATTCAAAAAGATGTGCGCCTTCAAAACATTAACTGATACACAATAACGGTATTCAAGACCAACTTCTCTGCAATCAATAGAAATTATTTTCATTCAGAGTACAGATCATCATCATTCTGATTCTTGAAAACTTCTCCATCAAGTAGGTACTGTGAAAGTTTCAAAATATTTTATGAATATCATTTTAATTTGCTGAATTTCACCATCTACTGGTTGTTATATTACAATGATACAAGCCACACAATTCATGCGCCCATTCAGTAATACTTCAAAATCGTTAGTCAGAAAGAAGTAAATAAATCAGATAGAGAGCACAGATTTCCACCATCTTTATAATTTGCTAAAAGTGTTTTGTTCTGCATCATCACAATTGGCCTCCTTAACTTTTACAATCTAATTATTCTTATAATAACAATTTTTGTTTTATGATTACATTCTATGAATTTATTTCAAATGCTTGTTTAGACTATTTTAAAATAGAAAGAGTTAATTAAACTCTTGTAATACATTGTTTATGTTATTTTAATGTATTTATAATAGCCCCTTGTTGATTCAGATTTATTAGAGACATTGAAAATTATCATGAATTTTGCCACCCCTATGACTGCTGACATTACTTTCTTCATAAGTAGGACTCTAAATTATGTTTTTATTACATAACTGGATTTACAATTATTGATTTGTGAATTACAATGAATAATTGTAGTGAGAGTCTTATTGATTAGAATAGTGCTAACTACAAAATAATACGTTTAATCACTTAAATCAAAATTGCAATAAAAGTAATAAGTGCTAGTAATATCCCAATAACTTACTAACATGGATTTCATTGTTACTTCTTTAGTTAATAACACTAAAAAATATTAATTTTTCTTGTTTAATGGCAGCAGCCAACACTCGTGTGCACCTATCATGCTACATTTTCAGCAATTTTGTGAATGCATCACATCATACACATCTACACTCAAATTTAGTATTAACCCTATCACAATCGTTAATCTGCTTAACCCAAATGCACAAAGGTTTCCTCTTTCTCGGGAGAGCATATGATCCAGCTTCTCCTTGAACGAAGGAACTATCTTGCCTGAAACACGGACACATGGGAGACCAATTGTTGATGAGGAAACGCTTCCAAATTACAGGTATTTCATTCTCCTTACAAAGTTTCACATCAAGTCTTCAAAGCCTTATGACAAATTATGAACGTTTTATCTACTATTTAGAGCTCAACATTTTTCAACAATACTGTTACTATTTCTTCTTTGTAGTAGTGTGGGGAAGTGCATTTTTCACCTCTCAGGATAGATGAAATGACAAATCAATGGGTATCTAAGTGGTCTTTCTTTGAATTTTTTTCAATATGCTCCTTATCTTTATTGAATTAGGGTATCCACATAATGTTGTCATGCATATTCAAGAATGGGTCTAATACACTGACCAGTCAGTATACTCAATGAAAACCTGGATTCCATAATGTTGAATTACACATTTAGAACCAGTTAATTAATTAGCTTCAAACCCCCCCCCCCCCCTACATAACTTGAATGGACAGGTGGGGGCGACATACATTTTTTTATGATTTTGAAAACCATTTCAATTTTGTGTCTCAACTTTGTGAGCAAATCTGATAGGTGTAGACATGTTCTAAAGATTTTATGTACATGTCATCACCGTTAATTTTTCTATTTAAGTTAATTTGAATATGAATTTTCACTCTCTAAGTGATAGAAAAGTGAATGGATATTTAAAATTATATAGTATAATTATACACACTAAAACATTTGCAATCGCAATCTCCAAATCACCCAAATACAACACCAAAAAATAAATGTAAAAATTCTCATATTTTGTAGCATGTAACATGTAGGTTACATGACTTCCCCTTTTATCAGCGTTTTCCACCCAGTTTCCTAACAATCCAAAGAGCAAATTCTGAGATGATCTTTCTGCTTGTGAGCAAAAAATTCCAATTTCTTCCTATCCTCCCCCAAATCAAACATTTTTTGAAGTAAATAAATAAATGCAAAATACCAAAAACTTTTCAAAGAAATCTTATTGGCACATTAATTATGAAACATAACAGACTGTAAATGAAATGGAGAGTGAACGAAGTAAGGATTTAACTGTAATAAATTGAATGGAAAAGAGCTTTCTTTCAAAACAATGTTTGGAGTGAAGGAAATACATAACAATGAAGCAAGTGACAAAATCTGTAGTATAAATCTCACAGCTGATGTACATCTCAAACAACTTGATCTCTTGAATTTCAAGCATACAAAACAGAAATGTTAAGTAGGTGCATCTACAAATATAACAGAACTTCTGAATCTGTCAATTTCCTATACAAAGCATTAATATACTTGTCCTGAAGGAACTAAGGAAAAAGTACAATATCAAATCATCGTTTTCAGGATATCAACACTTTTACAGTACACATCTCACATATGTACAGTACATTAACATGACTTACTCTAACTGATCCTTGGTCAGATGTTCCTCTGCCACCATCAGCTTTTCCTTGAAGTAATTCTTCAAAGACTCTGTTTGTAATTTCATCTAACGTTGGTCCCGATTTTACTTTTGGAGGATTTTCACTCTTCCAAGCTTAAATAATTAAAAATACCCAGCGTTAGTTTATCCAAGTAAATACATAAAAAATAATGTTTCTCTCTCATCTTCACCTTGTGATACATACCTTCACTTCTAGAGAGTACTTGCAATCTCTGATTATCAACTTCGGTAACAGGCAAAGATAGTATTAAAATTTCACTTTCACCGACCTAAAAAAGAATAAGGTATTATATACAATTCAGGAATTTATGAAAGAAAGAAGCATATAAATGAAAAATCATAATAATATTAATATTAATGATAATTATAATAATAATCATAATTATCTTACTACTGGTTATTTGGTAATATCTTTACGTAACTAACTTACCAATCGTAAAGCAACAGAATCAAGTTTATATCCATATTTATGTAATAAAGGTCTCAAGACTTCTCCCAGAGTTTTACATGGATTTGCCTTCACCCCAATGGTCTTCCGATTAGGAAGTTCTAATCTAAAAACCACTCTTTGTTCAACATGAACTTCCTTGGCCCCAAGAGATGTTGAGTCTTCATCCAAAGAAATTTGCTGCAGCTAAAAAATATAACAAACAACTGTATTCAATGCTAACACTTATTAATTCAGAATATAGCAAAACAGATTTTATCATACTGAAAATATTTTACAAATATTATGATGATTTAGTACATATGAGGATATAACAAGTTGCACAAACTTTAGTGAAATGTTATCACACTGGCTGCTTGTCAAAAATGTATAGTTAACAAAGCTTGAATTCGGCTAATTTGTGAATTGGACAGTTAATATTCACATTATCTAAAGTGGGTGATTAAAGATCAAAGAGGGAGCAGCTGAAAGCATACTTTGGACCTTCGGTGGAAGGATGACATTAACCAACACAAGGTAAATGTAACATGTGACAAGTCAAAATGATCGATCCACAGGAAGGGAATATGAGAAATTCCCACTCATCCCAATAAACAATGTAAATTTGCAATACTTAATTAATTTTCTAGGTAAAACAAAATATAAAAAAATAAAACAATAAACCAAAACTTCAAGCTATTTCAAATCTTCCATGAAATTGTGGCTTTCAACATTAGTTTTAGCAGTAAATTAAGGTGCCTTTTAAGTTATATATTTCATTCTTAACATTCATTACTTTACATATATAGAATATTGTTTCCACATAGAAGAATCAAAAATGAATTCAAAATGTGTAGAACAGTGCCATACTTTGTTGGACATAGTTTTATTGCAATGATCCATTTATTACTCTGATAACATTTTCTTCCCTTAATTCATAAATCCTACAGATATGACAGCCAAATAATGACCCTTTTCTAAAAATTTTAGGTTAACAAATTAGAATATTTGGAATTTTCTCACATGTTAACAAAATATACACCATATTCACTAAATATGGATTTTCCAAAATGATAAGGGCAATTCTTACAATTAATTAGCCTAGTAGTTCCAGGAAGCTGAACTCATGTGTAACTGTTCATTGTCCCCCAAGGAACGATTCATGTTGTATTCATCAACTCTCAGATCAGAAGTCAACACTTCTAAGTATTCAAGTAATTAAAGACTTGTATATATATGACTTGTATATATATGACTTATATATGTGTTTTATTTTTATATGTCAGTAACAACCACTCTTCTGGATCTGTGACAATTATTTGCGTTTTTTTGTTTAGATTTCCTTTGATCCATCAAGCATTAAGCATTTATTGTTTTTTGCACAAATAAGTAAATTAAATGAGTAAGAACAATGAAAAAGTTCGACATACAGTTTTCCATTCTAAATACAGTACAACAATGATTAATCGGACCTTTCTGAATTAAGAAATTCTTCAGATTTTCAAAATGAACCAATAATGGGTATTTGTCTTCAATGTAAAAAATTCTGACATAACCATTCAGAATTCACTTTGATGGTTAGCAGATGAAATAGCAGTTAAGGTGCAGAATTTATGGTTTCTGGAAAAATCCTCCTAGGTCCATTTTTAAAACGTTTACATTATTGTGAAGAATAGTTTTTGTTTGAACTGCAAAGATATCACATAATTTAAATTATTTAAAGTTAATTTTGAGTCTATATATTATATGAGTTTCTGCAACCTTAAGTTTTAACAAAATCCTTAAGTCGTGTTGACACTTATTAACAAATGTATAGTACATAAAGCATTCAGTTAATGCGATTTTCTTGCACCAAAACCGTCATCAGATCATCAGTTGCCTGGATTTTAGACTTCTGCATTATTAATACTCTATTGTATACAGAACATTGCACTGCCCTGGATTGTACATTCTTGTATTATTCAAGGACAAAAATAAATACTCACTCTATCCGAGTTGCCCATGAAGACTTCAAAAGATGAATAATGAAGTCCGCGCTTTTCCAATAGTCTATTTACAAGATCTTTTACACATTCATTTCTCCTTGTCTGCACAACAGTCGTAGCACCATCTGGCAAGATTACACGGCATAACGCACAGCTTTCCCGTTCAGGAAGTTCTCCTGATGTAACAGACTGGAAAATAAAAGGAATTGAAAGATAATTTTAGCATTTAGCAAAGCTAAAAAAATGTGTTATTTCAGAATAAAAACGAAAACACTAATTGTAAAACAAGCGTTTTCAGCAATAATGCAGAGAAAAGGAAGGAGCTGCAGCACAGAATATGTTAAATCAGTTAATTACACTGTGTTTGAAAACTTAACAATTTAAACCAAACAATGAAAGAAATTTAGGGGCCAAACATTGTAGAACAAGATGAGTATAGGCAAAAGTAAGATGCAGAAAGTCCATTGTGGAAAGCAATTAATTAATGGCAAGTTTTCAATATAAGCATAATTTCAATCTAATATAATTCTAAAACTCATATCAGACAGCATGCAATACTTTCAATGCAAAATAAAATTACAGGATGCAATTGGTCCCTCTAGATGCAAAGGAAACAATTTTCTGAAATCAAATGTTTATTTACAACCTATATTTAATTATTTATTTATTTCTATATTCATTGAAGAAAATTTATGAAATTAAAAAAATTAGGTCAACAAGAAATGTAAGAAGAGATATTCAACCTACCCAACCAAGAGAGAAACAAGCAGCATGAAACATGAATTTAATTTTAGTTAACACACACTTCTTTTACACAATTTCTTGAATTTAACTTCATATAAATATTTACAAAATGATGCTATTTCTATAAAAAATTGACACTTTTGTAATAATATTAATAATAATAATAATAATAATAATAATAATAATAATAAAGCAAAATTATGTAATATGGACACTAATATTAATACAAAATACAATTATAACATAGCACTTCAAGGCATACAAATCAACTGCATTACTGGAAAACAATCAATCATTGACAAATCCATCACAACTTTTATCAATATTAATGACTTGCAAATTTCCATTGGAATTGACATCATGTATTAGAAACAAACACACAAGTTTAAGTATGACCCCTATAAATAAGTTTTTGAGAAAAGAATTTATCATGATTCAAATATTCTAGAAACATTATCTTCTTAGAAACATCTTATTTTGTACATTACAAACATGTTTATAGCTAATTAATTATAAAGATTTATTAAAAAATAATTAGCTACAAGGAATAAAAATTTTTAAAATTATGTCAATGAATAAGTAATGCTAAAATTTTGCTTGTATGTATTTCTTGTAATTTTGCTTATATGCTTGGTTGTCTGTATTTCTTAAAACTGGGAAATTGATACATAATATATTAAGTGTTTTCATTGTTATTGTTACCATTATTATTATTATTATTATTATTATTATTATTATTATTATTATTATTATCATTATTATTATTATCATCATCATCATCATCATCATCATCATCATCATCATCATCACATTTAATCTTTTGCACTAAGTTCGCGAATTACACTTTCAGGGGGAGAAAAACAAACCGAAACTAATCACTGAAAAATGTAAAAATTTGAAGAAAGACTAATCTTATAAAATGCACGTCCGAAATAGTATATTAGTCAAAACACAAGAATACCTGTCGGCTAAAAGAACCTCGGAGAGCAAGATCCCAGGATACAAGGGAAGACCTGCTGCTAGTAACATCACTACGCACAGACACAGTATCTTCAGCATCCTGTTTTTGATGTAGCATCCGAAGTTTATTATATTCTGATTCACCACGATCTTTCGATTTAGAGCGATTTTTACGGTGCCATGGCAGCAAAGATTTGCGGCGGCAATCTTCAGCATCACTGCGACTTTTCTTTAGCTGCAACCAGCATTTTAGAAGCTCTAAGCATTGATACAGCACAAGCCATCCATATGCTCACCACCAAGTCAAACTCAACATCGAATAAGCATCACAAGAAGAGTAACAATCATGCCAAATAAACATAAAAAATTAACAATCAAACTTACTTTACTATGACTTTTGGGAGAGTTTTCTTTGTGTTTCATTTGGAGTCCAACATCCAAGTCATTTCCTCCAGGAAAAGGTAAATCTTCACCAGATAATTCTCGAACTAAGCAATCTTTATATAGATCCGATTTAATAAAACGTGGATAACTGTCAAATTTCATTAAATTAAATATCTGTTTCTGTGCTTGCATGAACAGCTCTGGAGTGGCTTCACCAAGTTTTTCCTGAGTAACTTGTCGTGCATGTGAGTCAACATTGACTGGTTCCAAGGCCCCAAGGCACAAATGACGGTCAAATATATCCCTGGCTGCTTTCTTGCGTTCAGATTTGTCCGTTAATTCTCTATATTTTTCACAAGCAACCCAAAAGTATATGTTCTCATGGCTGAACTCTTTTTTAAGAAATTCCTGGAACAAAAAAATAATAATAAAAAAAATGAAAATACAACTAAAAACTATAAAAAGTACACAAGACAAAAAATATGAAAAGTTTTATTTTTTAGGTAATCTATCAAGCCAAGGGAGTAAAAATTAAAATAATTAAATTTAAATTGCTGAATCAAGAGATATAAAATTTGGCATCTTCAACACAATTCTCAACAAATTACGATAGGATACTGCAACATAATGTTACTGAATCAAGAAGTCACTCCTTTGAGATACAATGTTGTTATAAAAGCAATAGCTACATTCTATTTTGCAAGTCTAACTGATCCTAATATGCAAATTACACATAACTCAGCTAAAAATGAACTTACGGCAAATGTATGAAGGCCAGCAGCATCTTCTAGAAGTTTTTCAAAAGATGTGGCCCAGCTAGCAACTCCCCGTTCTGCTTCCTCTGGCTCCAAACTTGCTTCTTGATCAGAATGCTAGGAAAACAAGAATTTTTATATTATTGTTAACAAAAGAATAACTTACATGATTGGAAAGCAACAAGAACAATGACATGTTACAAAGATAAACTTGGAGAAAGTAGATACGGAAATTATACATAAAAGAACTGCAATCCTTTAAAAAATATGCCGTAGTTATTTTTTTATACAATTTACCTTTGCATTACTAGTAGAAACAGGTTCTGTTGTCTTTGCTATGGTAGAAGAAGGACATTTCCTTCTAAATGATCGCGATAAAAAAGAATTCAATCGCTTGTCTAACAATGATTCGCTTTCTCTGAAAGACATCAGAACCATCTTCTAACACACATGCCAAACAGAATTGTATGGGATGGAGTAACACAGCTTAGCAACACTATCAACTGCCTTGTGGCTAGAATTCACAGCACACAAGCAGGAAGCAGAATCCACAATTCAGATAAGAAGTTCCTGTTTCAGGTCGCATAAATTCAATTTGTCTGTTGCACCAATAACTTGTATAACATTCAGTGCCACATTAAAAATCATTACACTATTACAACAACAAGAAATTCAAGATTCACAATATAGAAATTTGACTAAAGAGGTAATTCAATTGTGCAACATAATGGGTACTATTTTCCTCTTAAGAAATTTGTACAATACACAAAAATTTTTAAATTACTGGCATTTACTCCTTTCCGAAGATTTTAATAAAATAAAAGCTAAATTTTAAGTTATATTTTATAAGCAATTTTAGTAATGTGCTTTATGCACCTCCCGATTCCTGCTTAAAACAGTACCATTTACATTAAGCGTCCTTAATTGAACGGCACGAAAGGAATCACCGAAATAAAGAAATTCCACGTCATGCAAAAAGCGGAGAAGGGCCTGCCGAACTTCACGTGCGCCTTTCTAGTAGTTGCATCAGTTACGCAGTGGCACTTTTATCATTTTTATCTCTCGGCACAGGCCACTTGTGGGCACGCCCTAGCGGCCGCTAGCCTGAACGCGCCCGCGTCCGCGCCCGTGCCAGCGTCCGCGTCGGCGTCCGCCCCTGAGCGTCGCTCGATGGGGAGCCACCCCCGCTCCGTAGGGGAAGACGGGGTCGCGAATTAAGGCGTCTGCAGAAGGTGCAGTCCCAGGCAGAGGCGCGCGCGGGCACGGACGAACCTACCGGCGACGAAAGAAAACGAAACGTACAGGAAGTAAAAGAGTTGACGAGTAAATGTCATCAAGTAGTAAATTGCCGTCCCACGGTCGGCGCGACGCGGCGCGGCGGCGAGAATTCGCTTGGGAAAGCTCACTAACGTGAAAGCAGCGGAAACAATCCGTGGCACATCCTCACGTCAGAGGGAAGTAGGTCTCCGTAAGAAAGCGGCGTAAGTCCGATCCCGGCGTCGAATAATCTCCTGCCACAAACCAAGTTTTCTTTTCCGTTTCACGCCCCGTCGGACCGCGTTTCTCTGATGCAACTCGAGAAGGCAGCTCACGATGTTTCACGCACGTCCAGCCGCCGCCTACTACTCACAGGAACCCCTTCACTAATGAGTCACCGCACAAGCATCTTCCACTGAAGAAAGCATTACAGCCGTACTCGACAGGTTGCAAAAGGGACCTTCACATCCTCCCAAGCAACACCGAGGCATGTGGATAGGAACTTAGCGATATATCCAGGAAATTGGCTCACTCACTGTCTCTCTACCGACATCCAGCGCGTGGAAGTGTCCCATTCTAACGAGACGGCGGGTCTGGCTGGGGGTGATTCGCCAGACGAAGAAAGAAAAAAACAAAACAACGTCACAACCTCGAGACCGCCCAGGGGCGAAGCCTCGGGCGCTCTGCAGCCCAGCACGGCCCGCGATCGCCCGCTGGTGCGCGAGCTAACAAACTCGAGTCATTCTCACTTCCCGGAAACCACTTGCACCATGAATCACGGCGCTACGCCGGGCTACGTCATCACTCGACCCAATTGAAGCAGGTGAACGCGCAGAGCCCGCCGCTGCCGCCGCCGGCGTGCCACAAGCGCTCCGCAACGCCCTGCGGCTGGACGCACACTGGAAAGAGCGAGGCCGCCGCTGGCTACGCTCCGCAGACGCGGAGGGAAATGTTACCCCCTCTATCTCCGGCGCGGAAGAAAGCCGCGGCTGCGGGAGCTCCTGAGTTCAAGAAATTCTCTGAGTACGACAACTCCCTACGTACAACTGTCAATTAGAAACGCCAGGGTGCAAGCGCAGCGAAGGCGAAAGGGGCAAAGGATAAATTAGACGAGCGAATCAGAGCGAAGGGAATTTCGGGCAAAAGAAAGGGGAATGTATAATTTCATTTCTTCCATCGCGTAATACTTTTACATTCAATAGCAAATTAAGAAAAAAAAATCGATAATATGAATTCATGAACTTTCTCATTTCCTCTAAAGGATACCGGGCGTGTCGTACTTGCATGCGAGAAGCGTGAATTCTCGAGGCTGATGATGCTTATAAGAGCAGGTTTGCCAGCAAAAATCCGCAGCTATTCACAGTGATTTCTTTCTTTTTTATTATTTTTTTTTTAATTTAGCAATATTTACTATAATTTGGATTTGGATCACATCACATACATTTATCACACGTCACATCTTGTTTCAATAAAAATCAATGAGCGTTAAAAATCAATGATCGATGATTTTGTAGTGAACAATTTTGTCGTGACGTACTGTTTTATATATACTGTATTGACAAGCGAGATCTGCTTTGGTTTGTTCATGGTTCCTCTTGCACGGCGTAATCTGGTCTAAAACCCCATTAAATTCTTTACATTCCTATTCAAACCCTCGTGCAAGGCGCCGGCCACTTTGTCCCCCTCCACTCTTCCTCTCATAGCACAGAGTTAATGGTTCAGTTTCCTGTAGCGCTGCTAGTGCGCGGGAGGTCCTATAAAAGAGGCAATAGAGCGTAACTTGCACGAAAGAGGAAATGATAAAAAACATTCCAGGAAGTGCAGCGCCCCCCCACTAAATTCCTCTGCGCTGTATTCCGCTCTGGGGCTTCACAAGCGAGTCTGCGACCGCAACGCATTTAATATTTTTTAACGGAACACACTCCGTAGAACAACGGTACTTACTCCCATTTAAAGTAAATGTGTTTGTTTTCCTGGTCATCGCTGCCAAGAGAGGGATCATCGAGATTTTAAAACGTCAATTATGGTATAAAACCACTTTAAAGAAGACGAATTCCAACCGTGAGTTTCAGAACTCCTGAATGTTCAAGTGTAGTTTAGTGCATTCAATTAGTCTTCGGCCTTATCAGGAGTCAGTAGCTCAACTGAACTCGCTTCAACATAAGTGGATTCGTGAGTGGCTTTCCAGAGCAGGGAACGAGAGCAACTGTCCTCGGGGCTTGACGATGGAACATATTTCACGGAATATTTTCTTTTAAAGGCAACGAATTTTTCTTCTATACGTGTGAATACTTATAGAACACACAATAAAAGTGTTATTTAATGCAGTTGCTAAAGACGTCTTCCCTGTTTCTTTCACTCCTCATGCACATTTAATATTTTAAGAGTGTTATCCACCCTACTTGACGTAGACCCACTGAAGACGGGGGGTGGGGAGATCCCGACAGCTTGCCTTAAGCTTGATGTTTTAATAAATCTGTTAAAACTTTTCATTTAATGCCGTTCATTTCTCATTATTAATTTTAAAAAAATATATTATAATAGTACTAGTTCAATAAAAAATAGTGTGCCCACACCAAATACAATGGGTGACATGCAAGTTGCGGCAGCCTTGATTGGATCAGTGCCACGGCATGCTTCCGCAGCAGAGATGGCAGACTGACAGCCACACACGCTCACATCGGGCCTCATTTCCGCAACTACAGATACAGATCGAGAATTCAATCAATTTCATTTCAACCAACATGAGGCTCGAGACGGAGGAAAACGAAATGAACATCTGAAAAATATTTAGTATGTTTTCGACGCATGAAACGTAAAACATTATTTTCTGAGCATATTATTTATATATATATTATATATATATAATATATATATATATATAATATTATATATATATATATATATATATAACGCCTTTCAATAAACACAGTGCAGCTTCCCAACAAATGAATGAATATGGTGAAGAAGATCACATAAACCACGACGACATACTCCAAAAGATTTATATGCTAATAAGGAGCACCAAAAGTTTGCGATAAGCTCCACCGAGGCTTCCATTCATGACTGCTATCTCCATCTCTCGGAACCGATAAGCGCCATGCAGGAAGCGAAGAACAAGCCCTCGGAAATCCGGTTTCCATGAGCAGTAAAGACAGCGCCCGTAACTACGAAGAACTAGTAGCTTTAATAGCACATACTTTCTCACACGATTTCTAACATTTGCAATTTTCGAAAATTCAGGAAGTTCAACAAAAATTATGACTGCGCCACTCTTTCTTATATCCGCGAAAAAAAAAGATAAAAACAACAACAAAATTAACAGCGGTTTTTGAGAATTTGTTTTTTTTTATAAAATGCGTAAACTTCAAGCAGCAATTACGTGAAAAGTACAGGTTTTTCAAAATCTTGAATGCTACCACTTTAAAAATCTAATTTCGTAGAACACATTTCATTTCAGACAAAAATATCTCTTCAATACGAATATTGCACTTCCGCTATGTTATTTTTTTCAATTTTCGAAAATACAGTTTGCCGGAAATGGCACTAGCACCAGCATTTTTGCTGTTCTTCGATACATACGAGGAGAAAATTTAAAGAAAAATTTGGAGCAGTTTTTAAGAAAATAAATGCATACAAACTGCCTAAATTTCTTGAAAATTATGCGAAAAACACTCATATTTTCGAAAAATTGTACATGGCCTTGTTTCAAGATGTTTTTGAAGAGCATATTTTATAAAGGGAAAAAATCTATATCTTCAATGTGCTTGCAAGAAGACGCCGAATTTCTTTAAAAGTTTCCACTTTTCGAAATATCAAGAATTTTAACCGATGAGACTTGCGCCATTCTTTTATACCTTTACGCTATAGGACGACAAAGTTTGATAAAAAAAATTGGTGCTTCATGTGAAATACCCCCCAAATCAAAATATCGGTTTCAAACTCAGTGGACCTCAAGTTCCTTCAAATCGATCGAGGAATATCCATTTTGGAGTAAATCGTCTGAAGGGCTTACGAGCTAGCGTAGACCAGACAAATACAGACGAAGGACGGAAACGTTTTGCGGTCAATCAATTTTTAAGCCAGGAGCCACACAACATGGATTCTGACGTCACTTCGTGTTTTTTACAGAAGTGATTTACTATACAAAATAAGTCCCATAACTTTAGCACATCTTCCACATTTTAAACAGTGTTGTTTTCACGGATGTGCGCTAGGGAATGGGGTTAGTTGATACACGAATTAATGTCTATTTTATCACTTGTATATTACAAGATATTGAGATGAACAGACGACAGGGGCGATTTCCTACTACAGCAGGATGGCGCACCACCCATTTCCATAAGCATGTAAGAGCGTTTTTAAAGAGCAACTTTCACAGCGGGAGATCGGACGCGGGACGGACCGTGATCAGATGCTCTTACCCTGGCCACCACCTTCACCAGACCTTCGCATTGTGATTTGTTCCTGAGAGGATATGATAAAGATCGAGTCTTTACCACTCCTCTGCCGACGTATATTCTGAAACCGAAGCAGCGCATCAGAGCCAGCTTCCTAAGCATCACTGCTGAGATGGTGTTTGGAAAGAAATGGACTCTCGAATAGAGGTGTCGAGTGACTAAGGCCGCCCATAATGGGCATGTGTAATGTATGTAAAAAACGTTATGAGTTCCAGTTCACAACAAAATAAGGTTCATATTTCTAAGTCAATTACCCCGTGTATTATGAGTTTTTGAAACTCCGACAATTATTTTGAATAACCCTGTATATAAAGATACGAAACGTATTCTAAATTTTAACAAAATTGTTGCAATTTTTTCCTGAACTCTGCTTTCCATCCTTTCTCATTTTCAGATTTTTTATCTTACTAGTTGAAGGATGTAATAACATTGTTTGTTACTTCAATTACATTTAATGGGGTGTCATACCATCACAAGATATTGATGGGATCTTGAAAGAAAACCGAATAAGAACAAGTAATTATGATTATACAAAGAATATTACACATTTTGAGCAAACAATTTTAATGTTACTGAGCATATAATAATCACTAAGGGGTATAAAATCCAGTTAAATAATATTTATCACTGAATAAAAATATGGTAAAAAAAGTAGAAAATACAGATAAACACTAGATTACCACTCAATTTATAAAAATATATGTTCAAAATGTCCATAATCTATTTGGAGTTTTTTGGGGAAAATATTTATTAACTGCCAGTGTGATTCGCATTCTACACCGCCACAAATTTTATTCTATTCACTTTTGCCTTCATCAAGATCTGGAATGTAAAGATTTTGAAAGGCGCCTGACGTTTTGAGGATTTGCTCGGGGTCAGATAAAGGATGAAAACACGTTTTGGGAACGTGTATTATTTACTGATAAGCAACCATAGTAACTTGAATTTAAGAAACATTCATTTCTGGGCAGCGGATAATCCACACTGGCTCCGGCGTGCAGAGCACCAGAGCCAATGGAGAGTGAATGTATGGTGTGGAATAGTGGGTGATGAAATTATAGGGCATTTTTTTCTCATTAATATCTTGTGGTATGACACCCCATTAAATGGAGTTGAAGTAACAATTTTATTTCAATACATAGCTATGACAATTCCTATTTTCAATCCTTCAGTATTATTAAGTAATTCAAACAAATCTGAAAATGAGGAAGGATGGAAAGCAAAAGTTAGGAAAAACTTGCAACAGTTTTGTGAAAATTTGGAATATATTACGTATCTTCACAATCTTTAGTTTCCCTTGCCCTAGCGCAGGCATTCACAACTTCTGCTCCCACGGGCATTCTGCACTTACGAGCCGACCGTCTGCCCGCGAAATAGCTGAAAGTACAATTGGTGCGGTGAAGGCAGTTTTGGGGGAGGGGGGAAGCCGGAGTGGGTCG